AGGGTTTCAGAGGCGCGGTCTATGACCCTTAGAAAAGGTCATCGTGACGATGAAAATGTGTTGTGTTTAGAAAAAGTACACAAGACCGAAAAGGCATGTCAAAACATATAAAAGCATCAATTTTATTGAAAATTACATTTGCTAGTGTATGCAGTAGAGCAAAACAACAGGTAGGGCTTTTCTGTACTGTACGGTACAATACTTCAATACTTAAAATAGCAGTCACTTTTAATGTACAGTATTTAGAAAGTGGGTCACTCTCTACTAGAGTACTGTATACTCCTATGTAATTAATTAGGGTTCCAATTAGGGCTTAGCTAGGACGTAGGCATAGCACTAGGCAATTATCGCAAACAATTTTTTTTTTCTCGTTTGTTTACTCATTAATATTGTTATTACCGCCTTTATGACTGGTTACAAATGAATAAGACATAAATAAGCAAGAAATTCATTTACGGAGATATTTTTTAAAATTTTATTGGTTTTAAATTTGGCTAAAAAATTTCAATTTTGCAAAAAAAAAAATTAAAAACATTTTGACCTTAGCGTGAGCGCTACTGTATGCTATACCAGTAACTAAATGGGCACACATTTTGGACAACTGTTCGACAACAACTCCATACGCCACTGCAGATTGCCAGTAGCAGCCTATGATTTCCACTGAAAACACACATTGTTGAAGTGTTGATTATTGTACGTGCACGCCTTGTCATGTTGTAGTGTTGTAGTGTCATGTTGATGACCGTCAACAGACACAGTACGTGCCAGCTTCAGTATAGATTGGTGAGTAAAAAATAAATTAAAATAACTATTGCGGTGGCAGGCAAAGACGGCAGCAGGCAGACGAAGTTTAAAACAGTTTTTTTTACTTTGCCATGGCACAGAGAGGTCCGAAATGATCAGTAAGGTTAGAAGGATACGTAGACCCCAGTTAACACTGTAGGGATAAAAATTGAAATTGTTTATTTTGAAAGGATGAATGATATCCAATGGACAGTAGACTCACTAAAAAGAATTTTTTTAATAAATGGCTTTAAGAACTGTTTTATATACAGTATCAAATTGATTTGCATCACAATTTACCAATTGTACTACTTTATCATCCAAGTTTTATTACAGTTCACCCTGAGCATCGTAATTCCAGTGTAACAATTACTAAGCTCTTCCTCAAATAAAATTTAAAAAACACAAAAAATTGTAGACTTCAATCTACAGAAAAGTCAAAAGAATGATTGTACTATACATAATTTCAATTTAGGCATTGGTTCTTGAATAAACATTTTATGGCAATGCCAGACAGTCAAGTTTACAACCCACTTAACATTCTGTGAATTCTTATAGGCTTAAACCATATTAAGATTTACAACACAATATAATAAATATGAATAACTATAGCATTTAAATAGTTCTCATTGTACAGTAAAAGCCTACTTACATTATCATACTGTACAACAAAAATCAGACCACAGTATTTTAGTGATTAACTAATATTTAATTTTTGACAGCTATTTTCACAATAGACCAACGAAAAATCAAGATCAAGTTTTTTTTTAAAGCATAATCAATCGCCAAAATACTGTACTAGGCCACTTTTAATTGGTACATTTTTATACCAGGGGCCACTTTTGTCATACTGTAGCCATTCTGTTTTTTATTCGGTCATTCTTATAAGGCCACTACAGTACACAGGAATCTGTTAATCCCATCATACGAACCAATAGATTTTAATTAACTACATCAAATTTGTATAGTACTGTATATAGTAAAAAAAATTCCTCAAGTGATGGGAAAAATATAACAAAAACCAATCAGTAAAAAGGATTACGAATAATCTGGCTTTTCAATATTACAAAATTTACAATATTCTTATTAGTTTAATTACAGGAAATTAAAATATATTTTTAGTTTTAAAACAGAATATCATGTAAGTTTTGTAATGTCGGCATTACTGCAATTGATCCAAAATATTGATTGATGGAAGAGAAAACATATAAATGCAGGCTGACGAACCATGGACTGAAGGTTTCAACTGCCACACATTATCATACCTCCTCGGGTATACCGCCCTCTACTTTAAGTTGGATTTCAAGTACGATTTCCAGAGTAAAAGCCCAGGGTATGATGATTTCGAATAAAAATGGAATTTCTGGCCAATTAGCACACCTGCAGCCATGAAAAAATGGGAATTTCAGAAAAAAATAAATATTTTTCTTTATTTTTATTATGCCTACCATTGAACTAAATTTAAGCATTGAACCATCCCATTACTACACATTCACCAATACAATTTTATTTTTCTTTTCTCGTCCGCCTAGATGTTTTTGGCAAAAATATTTGCTAATAAGAAAACATATTTTATTTTTATTTATTTTCTACCCTCCTCTGATGATTAAAAAAAATAAGTTTGCAAAACAAGGTATAAGAAAAAGTCTCGCTTAATATTGGAAAGGACATTTGATTTAATAGTTTTTAAAAAAATGGATTCTCCGGGACAAATCGAACCGCTAAAATCGGTACAATTTTTGTGTTGTAGGTGGGTAGACTTACTGTATAGCCAAGAAACATGGTAATTCTTTAACATATTTTTATAGATTTTTACAGATAAAAAAATTCTCTGTAATGTCATCATAAAATACTATTTGTTTTTTCCTTTAATCCACAGCATCAACCTTTGCATAATATAAACATAACGAAAATAGCATCCAAACAAAAGGATTGTAAAAAGACTGGTAGCATACCTACAGTACTCAAGGTTCACAGGTTTACCAGCCCTTTCATTTGGAATTTAATCAAATGGTACAGTATAACTGAAAAATCATACGCTGGCTGTATAGGCCAAACTTCTCACCTGTTTTCCTAAACGCTGCCCTCTTATGCCCTATGATGTAAAATTTTTTAAATTATGGGGAATACTCAAAGAGTAGCTATAAGTATTGTACATGTAGTGTGATGCAGAAAGGTGGGAAATGCACTGACACTAAAAATTTCAATGGCAACATTTAGCATTAAAAAATGGACCTAGGTCAAGAAGGCCTGTGTTTTTACAAAAATCAATCACACACACATTCTCTTACTATAGAATTTACAAACTTTTTCAAATAGTTTAGAATTAAATTAGAGTGAGCACACTGTAAACACCATTTGAGATTTTATCAGCAATGTAAACAGTCCAGTCAATCAGACTAATTATGCTTTAAATCAGGATAAATTAATATGTTATCAGGAGAGTTTGTGGCAGTTGCAGGCAAGATAAAATAAAGAATAAAACAGGTTTTTGCGAAACAAGATACAATGTCTTGCCTACCTCAGAGTCAGCAGTTTGACTAGAGTATATACACATAAATCAGCTGGCAAGAGCATAATCTACGACCTCTGGATTTGCCTTGTAATGTTACGAAGTTGTCAAGAAAAAGGTACCTTATTTAACATTTTCTTAATGCGTAAAACTTAAATGTACGCTAATAAATGACCTGGTTTAAGATATTTAGAATAATGCAATGTATTTCTTCTATATCAAAACATTTTATTATTCAAATTGTAATGAAAATATGGAGGGACAAGTCATGTGTACTTCTGAAAACCTTCAAAATGGCTTTGGTGATATGGCTACTAACTGATAAAACTAAAAAGGCTACAGAACTCTGGAAACTTTATTACAATGAAGATTAAGAATCTGTTTCCCAGTGTGACAAGTCACCACCAAGAAAAGAGACAACTTAATCAAAGATGGGAGGGGCCAAAATGAAATGGAAGTGGAATGCATCTACAGTAGTTAAAACTAAACTAAGAATTTAGATGGACCGTTTAAAGCCCCCACAGTAATTAGTCAGAGGCCCGTCGTACTATCATTATTAGTAACTGGTATACATGGGTAGAGTCAGAGTGTGTTAGAAAAGATACACAAAGGAGGAAAAGATACACACACAGAAGGCAAGTAGGCTGTTAGATTCAATGTTAATGAGCTAATCCCTAACTAGTAGTCTTGATTGATTGCATTCATTCACTGACTGGCATGACCAGGCATACAAAAGGTTTATGTTGTCGATTGTTACAGTAAGTTGCCTTAAAGCACTCTCTCTATCGGTCTCAGACAAAAGGCATATAGTAGGCCTATACAAATGCATACCACCGTATGTCTCTACAAATCACCACACACTACCAAAAATTAGTAGCCATTACCATCATTATTATATAGGTCTGGTAAAGTAAAAAAAACTAGCCCTGGGCTCATATACGCCGAAGTGCACATCACTTTATTTAGCGTTTGGGCCACACTATTATGCCATGTGTGAGGGGATTCACTACTCTTCTCCGGATTTTCCATGGAAATTTGAGTTACATATTTTGATGTAGCGCAATTAAAATACTTTACAGTATGGTAAATATCCCACACACGTTATGTTATTCTAACCTAAACATTTTATTTTACTTTTACTTTAAAAAAAATAAACGTGGATTTGCGATGGAAAGTTGTGCTACAGTACTCAGTAGTAGTGGTGGTTGTCATTATAGTGAAACATCTCTCTCACTCAGGCCTAATTCGCACAGGAGGTAGGCATGCACTCATGGTTGTGTACAATACGTACTGTCATGTCTAGTCTAGCCTTAGCAAGGCAAGAGAGGTTAGGCTAGCCCCCCCCCCCCCACAGGGCCTAGGCTGTTCACTATCATACCTCCATGGCCTGATGCAGACAGACAGGCATACAGTCGGTGGTTATGCACGCTTGCTAACATGAGGGCGCTACTACCCATAAGTAATATAATTTCTATTTGTATTTAACTCGATAGATTTGCTTAACATACTTTTCTGCATAACATTCCGATAAACCTAATAGACTGTAGATGGAAGCAGGCCTAGGCGCACGTTAAATGCTCACCCACCCAACTAATAAAAGCAAAACACAACAACAGCTGACAACGGTGGGAGCAGCCCACTTTCAATTTTGCTTATGATTGATACCATGATTATAATAGACTGCAAATCACAATGACAAACTTACAGTAAATGGCACCCCATCAACATATCCGACAGCAAAACAATTCTCTCCAGGATTAACAGCACCAGTTAAAACCTGGTGTCGATTCATTGTGAAAAGTTCAGGCTTTACACAAGCAAAATTTACTATTTAGTACCGGTATTTTTCTTCTCCCAACATTTTTGACAACCATCTTGTGACACCATGGTCATCAAATAATCGAAAGTTTACCGAGAGAGGGCGCTAAATCATAATTTATTGTGCACTATACACGTAAATTAATATAATGTAGGCCTACTCTGTACAGTAATACCAGCAGTGAAGTAATACTGTACCGTAAAACCTTAAATAGAAGCTCAATGGACTTAATCTCAAGAAGAAGCCCATCTCGAATTGAAGCCCCCCACACCCTCTTTAGTTTGCAACAGTAGCTTCTTTTCGAGATAGTAGGCATACAGTATACACTGTACATGAATTTCAAAGAAACAAAATAAATTTAGGCCTATACGCCCGGAAGTAGTTTAGGTGATTTAATGCCAGTAATACACTCCATGATACAGATGGATGTTATAATGGTCCTATTTATTGTTTTGTAGTAGTAATTCCCACAATTGACGGCATTCATTTTGAAAAGAAGCCCCTCTTTACTTAGCAAAAGTAACCTAAAAAAAAAACCAAGAAGAAGCCCATCGCAAAAAAAAAAAAGAAAAAAAAAAAAAAAGAAGCCCCGGCAATTCGAGGTTTTACGGTATATCGATAGTCTACTGTAGGCCTATATCAAGTAGCAAGTAAACAAGTTAATGAGATAATTGTTTTATTCTTTTAATCATTCACTTATTTATTTTGTTGTTTTCAATCAATGTTTCATCGGAATTTTATATAGGCCTACTGTAGTATTTAAAGCATATTGTCATTGGTGTCTGCTGGTGCAGGTGTAGGAAAAAATAAAATTATAAAAAAATAGAAATAGAAACGATTGATACCGTCAGTTATCTCAATTACATTATTCAGTGGCGACTCTTCGTCCCAAAAACGTTTTTATTTGAAGATCAAAAATTAGCCAAGGGATATAACAAAAGCGGCATGGCCACTGGGATCCACAAGAATGTGCTATAATAATTAATAGATAGATTTTTCATGTGCTTTCAACACTATTGTTCCACACATATTGCTAAAAAGACTAATTTGAGCTTGATTTCGTTCCTCGAATTTTGTCATGTATTTTATTTCTTGACCATAGCGAGTTAATGTAATAATATACCATCAACAATTAGTAGCTTAAGTATTGGTGTTCCGTACGGATGTGTTTTGTGTTTCTTTTATATTCAAGTAGTTTTAAGATCTTGGATCCTCACTGCAAAATTATAAAATACGCAGATAATACTGTAAATAGTGGATTTATTGGTAACGATGAAACTATATTATTTTGATGAAGTTAAAATATTTCCTGAATGGTGCCAGCTTGCTAACAACTAAAGAAATGATCTGATTTTTGCAAAGCAAACAGTGCTTATGATATATACCAGGCATTGTTGTTGATAATAAGCTTAAAATGGGGTAAAGAAACCAAGATTACTTACAAAAGGAAACTAAGCAAAGTTGTATTTTCTAAGAAAACTTAAGAAGCTTAGTGTAGACAATACCATTCTTAATCTTGTTTTATAAAGCAATAAAACAGTGTTTTAACTTACTGTCTGTCAGCAGTTGTCTGTCAGACGGTGAGTGTTTTAGTCAAATCTCATGAAAATTTTAAATTGCTCTAACTCATCAGAAAATGCTGGCGCATTTTTTTTAGTTTGCATACTTTTCAGGAGAATACAAATATTACTCTATTAACAAACCAACAATCATTAAAATAATAATGTACATTATCAATGTAATAATAATGTTTAATGTATGAAAGACGTATACAAAATAAAACGTACATCTACCCCTACGAGAGCAAAAGTGGGCGTGGCCGGACGTCCCTCAAAATGTTTCGAAAGTGGTCCAGGGCGTGCAGCTCACTCCAACGGAAGCCCTGGCCAACTGCCTTCCCCTTCCCTCATTAGAGCCACCCCTGCCAAAGAAGTAACGTTTTTGCACAGGTTTAATATCATCCTGGAATCAAAGAGCAATCCTAACAGTAGGCTACTTTATTCTGTTCAATGGCATGTAAACGTGAATACGGAAATCCTGTACCGGTATACAGTATGAACTCCTAAATCTTGTGTACTGCGCTCAGATTTGTATAATAAACGCAAAGACAAAATGAAAATACACATAAGGAAACGACTAATATAGACGTCCTACTAGCTGAATTCTAGAGTCTTGTTTTGCATGTTTGATGTTTTCATGTAGACTTTTTTTTTTTCAAAATAGAATCCCTGGAATATTATCAATTTATGGGGTCAACACAGACTGAAATAATAAATAGGCCTAGGCCTAATTTAGTTTTCAATTAAATGGACTTTTCTGTACTTAGTCTACGAATTTTCCAATTCTAATCCCATGATGAACAAATTGTTACTGTAATAGACAATTTGTATGATAAAATTAAAAAAAAAAAAAAACGTTCATAACATGACTGCAAAAATTAAAATTTATTGCTTTTTATTGTGAGATAGTTGACGATTACCTTTACCTCGGAAGGAGAGAACAGTCGAAGATTTAAAGCGATGAACACACCTAGCCTGGGCTAAGTTCGACAAACTAAAGAACATCCTTAAAGACCAGTAGCTACCAAGTGTCTACGAAGAAAACTATTCAACGAATGTATTATCCCAGCCTGGGATACTGGCAGTATTTACATATGGTTGTGAAACAGGGTCTCTCTCCATAGGCGTAGATCCCGGGGGGATGGGGGATATATCCCCCAATATTTGACAAGGGGGAATGGTCCATTGTATCATCCTCCCCAATATTTAGACTATGTATGGGATAAAATGGAGCTTTACACACTTCAAAAGACTGTCACAAAAATAATTTGCACTGTCTTATGCGCTTAAAAAGATGAAAATTAGCATAATGTATTAATGTTGATAGTAAAATTATTTTATCTGGTACCAATCTAAGTTCCTTGGATGTTAGACGTGCTTGCAAAGAGAGCCACATTTCACACTGAAGGGTGTGTACGACATCAGTAATTTTATGTCAATTCCAAGAATGTTTAAGGTTATATCGGTTGATGAGCAATTTATTGATTATGCCTATGCATCAATTTATTTTGCAAAAACAAGGTTTCCAGCTTCAGAGGGGGGAACATCCCCTGTCCGCACAAGGGCACACATTGGCGCTAACACCAGGCGCGTAACGGGGGTCTTGGGTCAGAGTGGGTATTTATTTTCCCGGTTAGTAATTTACCATACCACCCCACCCCACTCCCCATATAGAAAACAATACGACATAGGGCTTATCTAATATAGGCCACACACGTGTGTTTGAAACTAAATATAAGCATTTTCATCATGGTTTTATTTATTACAAACAGTATTCTTTCACCATAAATACACATTGAGGCCCTTCTTTTAGGTTAAAACGATCTATCTTAAATTTATCTTTCTTGAGTTTGGGACTATTATGTGTTTAAATAACTTAAAAGGATGAACCTAAAAAAGCCCTAAAAAATGCGCGCGAAGCGCGCAAAATATTTTTGTGTTTTTAATTCTGATTTCTTCGGAATTGATGACAACTCCCTAAAATGTGCAATTTATAGAGGAAATTGGCCTACCGTAACAACAAATGCGCGCAAAGAATTTGAGAATTTTAGGCACTTTCAGAGGGTGCATTTGTCAAGAGGTGGGGAAAGATTTTCCAAAGATGGATATTTTCCCCTTGTCTCCCGGTGTTTTTAATTCTAATTTCGTTGGAATTGATCAAAACTCCCTAAAATGTGCAATTTTTAGAGGAAATTGGCCCATGTTAACA